TATGTATGTGTGTATGTGTTTACATAGATTCAGTAGATGACTCAAAAAATTATCACTACAGCACGATTTCGTGGAAGATATTTATTTGTACATGTACATATGTATGTATGTGCACTTATGTATATGTGAATATAATATGTTTGCGAACTGCCACTGGCCCGTAACGTCGCTCTGCTGTACTTTATGCCATTTATATTGAGGCATTTATTTTTGGCTATTTTTAGATGAGGACTAAGTAAATCAAAGGCAAACGCAGAATACGTTAAGAATAAAACCGGAAAACAATGTTACACGAAGTATTGTCGAAAGAAAATAAATTGCTGTTAAAGGAATGTACAAATAAGTAAAATTTTAAAAGATAACACAAAATGTAAAAAATTAAAAAGAAAAGTTGATAAAGTGTGATAAATATTAGATAAAAATATATAACATTTGCCCGCCATAACTTGAAAATAAATCATGAACAAACACAAAAAATCGCTGAAAATTATTTCGAGCAAACGCAATTAACAATACACAAACAAAAAATATAAATAAATAATAAACAACAATGTAAACTACAAAATAAAAAAAAAAATTAAAATGAATAAAAAAATATTATATAAAAAATAAATAAAAAATAAAAATTAAAAAAAATAAAAAATAAATAAAAAATAAATAAAAAAAAAATATATAAAAAAAATATATACATACATATGTATGCTAGATTTATACATGTTTACAAAATGCACTTTAAAAACGCATCACTTTAGACAAAATCTGTTGACCCGCAGAAGCGTGCGGTAAAAATCAATGGCGCAGTCAAGGGCAACGCCAAAGGCCGAGCAGGCAAGCCGCCAAGGGAGCAGCGCTCCAGCACTCACTGCGGATAAATGAAAATTCTGCTGTCATTAGTGGCACGCTTGTTGTTACTGTTTGGCAGACGGACAATATATAAATTGGCTGCAGTAAGAAAACAAGACGCATTTGGTTAATTTAAAAATGGCCATAAAATCGCATAAAATGCCAGTACATGTAGACAAATTTAATTTATGAAAGTGCAGACGATGCAGACGATTGTAAAATGAAAACCATAAATGCTAAATTCACATTTCAGCGCAAAATATCAGAAAATAAATAAATTATTCACACATTTAATTTGCGAATTTGTGGCAAAATTCTACACACAGTTGTTATAGCTGGTGCAAACATAAATATTTGTTTGGCATGCAGAGAAGAAGAGGAGAACTGGCGTTTAGCACATTTTTTTTCTTATTATTATTATTATATTTGTTGTTTACAATTAAAAAAAAAATAAAAGTAATTTCATTTGCATCGTAGCCATGTATAATGCCTTTCGCAAATTTAAAACTTTTCAATATAGAAATTCGGTTTGTAGAATCGTAATCCGATTTGAATAATTTATTCCGAGATTTTACCATTACCTCGGACAATATACCATGCCAAATTTCGGCACGATATTTTGTCAAATGAAAAAGTTTTCCACATAAGAACACAGTCTTCATTTAGCTGACTATAGTGGTCCAATATGGGACATATGAGTAGTTTCTATTGGAAAAAAGCACGTGTGCTAAATTTCACTTCGATATCTCAAAAACTGCGGGACTCGTCCGATATATGCAGACAGACCGATGGACATGGCTGAGGCGAGTCAGATAATTTATAAACATTATAACTTGTTAATAATTTTAATATACTAATACAATGTACAATATACATATGCATAAGAAACATATTTTTATACGAAATTATACAATATTTCACTTCTTTCTCTTTTGTATGCACGTTCATGCACGTGCATTTATGTTGGCAATTTTCAAATAAACAGTAATATTCTTTCTAAGCAATATAGTTTATTATTTAACTATTTTTGACATTTGGAAGATGTCTAAATAATCGATAATCGATTGTTATGCATTTTTAAGAATAATCATATGGACGGGTCAAATGTGTAGTATTTAAATAAATAATTTAATAATAAATACGAAGCAAATAATGTCAAAAATTAAAATAAATAATATTAATAATTTTTGTGACCAAAAGTACTTAACATGCATTTTTCTTGTTTTTAATATTGGTTTATTTTTATGGAAATATTTTATATTCAAAAAAACTTCCGCATTCATTTTTGAGTTCAACTTGGGCAAGAAAAAAACTTAAAAGAGTATTTTTATGCACAGTATCATTGTTTTGCAAGTTATATTAAGCTGAAATTAATATTTTAAATTAATATATGTATGTACATATGTACAGCTGCGAGCAATGAAATAATAGTAGGTGTTAGAGCTTTACATATCTGTGAGTTATGTAAAATGCCAAACAACTTTAACATCCATTGAAATGCAAAAGTGGATCATATTTTCCAGGATAGTACTGGAAGATTTTTGCAAGTTTTGTCTATAGGAGATCTTAGTACTTGGTAGCATGATCATGATAACTGCACTTCATCGCTTCTTCAGAGAATCTACGAGACTGTGGCATATTTCCGGTGGTATGCTCTGCCATAATTGCTGCACTACGGTTCACAACTCGGGACCCTTTACCGCCGTATAGAAAAACTTTCGGCACGACTGTCCACAAGATGTTGCGCCATTTCTCAATCGGTCTTTTGGCAAATTTAGGACAACTTGCTATATGATTTTTTTTAATAACGGTACTTATCGAGGACTGCGGACATATAAATTATGTTCATGTAGAAGTCTTCTCACTGTATGAACACCGTAGGCCAGGTTCAGTTCATTCCGAATCTCCATAGCTGACATTCTAGGTCGAGTCTTGGCACATCTTACAACTATTGGTGTAAAATTCTCGGAAAGAATCCATATTGGGCCTTTTTTTTCGTCTTTTTTTATAAATAATTGCATTGTGATTCGTTGTGGCTTAACACCCTACAATTCTTTCCACTCCCTTGTAGGATTTACCATTGTTTATGACAGATTGAATACGTTCTCGTTTTTCGTCACTGCAGTGCTTCCCGCGGCCCAAAAAAAGTGCAAAGTCATATTTTTTTTTTGCTTTTTTTTGTTTGATAAAATTAAATTTTTTTTATTAAAAACTATTGCTCGCTCATAAAAACAGATATCCCAATAAAATTGGCTTTAAAAAAGTAACGGTAAGTAATTCACACTTATTGTTGTATATAACAGGACCGTTATACTTCAGAGAATATAACTAAAATAATGATCGACGGCAATATCATAAAAGAAACAAAATTTAAAGCAAAACTCTCTTGGCCAATAGGCACTACTATTTCAATGCGCGCAACTGTATATGCAGCAATCGAGTTGAAATGTTTCAATATAAACATTTTGTAATTCTTAAACACGCTCTAAGCAAAAAAAAAGCTATACAACAAGGTGAAAGCAGTCAAGTATGATTTCCTGATTACGCTTTGCGATTTTTTGAAAGTTTAATTTTTTTCGAGTGATTTGCTAATTGTACGTTCTAAGCAAATGTCGCCCACGCAAATATTACCTCAATAACTGTGTATATAAATTTATTCCTGTGTATTTCGCCTAGTTGCTCTTGCTTATCTTCGCAAAAAAATATACTTAAATGTGCTTCACTAATATCCCATGAAATGGGTACAGATGCGCGATCATAGTACTTGAGTAGCTATGGCGTTGGCAGTTGCTTTCTCGTCTGCCACCCACCTTCGTCAACGTAACGTCAATGACACTGCCTAACTTGGCACAGCTGTTTTTGATATACTTCATTTTTTGCACGAGCAAAGCGAGAATTTTATTTTATAAAAAAAAGTTTTAGTTGTTTTGCGTTATTATTATTATTTTTTTTTTAATTCTCTGATTCGAGTGAACAAAAAAACGGAGTTTAGCGTGTAAATGATTTTTTCCCAAATGCCGTTTTAATTTCTTTATACAAGGAATTTTTATTATATACTTCCATCCATGTATGTATGTATAATAGTACATAAGTATGTATGTATGTAAGTATCTTGTTGAAAAACTTCTACAAACACCCACATTATATAAAGATGTACATACATACATGCATATATCAGACATCTGTGTAAATACAATTTCTTTCAATTAAATTTACATTTTTTGTATTTAATGGAAATTGTTCTTTAATTGAGATAAACTTCAACTGTAGATCAAGAATAATTAAGTCATTGAGATCAAATATAAGTAAATACATACATATGTATGTGTGTGTGTATAGACTTACATACATATTTGAATATTCTAGTTAAAAATGTGATGTGCGGTGATTAGTCATATACGTGATCACAAATGTCTAATGCAGTTTTATATATAATTTAATAATTTGATTGAATTTTAGCGATTTTTATAAATTACTTTATTTATTTTCAAATTTTTTTATCGTTAATTATTTAAAACTTTGAATAGGTACACCTGTGTGCGCAACAAATATACCGTCATACGTAATCGAGACATAAGAACGTTAATAAACATAAATTGAAAGAACAGTCATACTCTCATTTCTTATAATTAAATGTTAAATTTATAACGGTCTGTCAAAGGACAATTTAAAACCACTAAAGGAAACATCAATTTCGTATAAATTAATAAAAGTAGGTTCTGCATAAATTATAACATTTTGTATATTAAATATCGCAAAAAATTTACATAGCAGTAAATTAGTGTTAAACGCTTTTATTAGAAACAATCGTAAATCAATAGACTAATATGTCATTAGCCGGTGCTCATCACACACAATCAAACAATTGTGAATAGGCTACCGAATGGGAGTAGCGAAACAAATCAAGGGCAAGTAGAAAAGAGCAAAGAGAAAGCAGTAATTTGACACTCACACAACAAAAAGAACATGTGAAAATACCGATACACACACATTCCCGCATTTTAGCAATACTTGAAAAGTAAATAAACAAAATAAAAATCTTTAACATAAAAGGAATATAGTTCAGGGAAAAGGGGCAGAAAATTTAGATATGCAAAAAAATAACAAAATATTAGTTATAAAAATGAATTAACATTAAAAAAGAGTAATGTACTCACGCTCAAGTAGCCGCTGTATTAAACTATCCACATTTAGATCAAAGTCAGCCATTATTGTGAATGTGACGTCTACGACGGATACAACGTGTTTGGTAATAATAAAAACACTCCAGGAACTATGAAAACACCAAATATATTTGTTACACGGCAAGAGTGCAAATGAAGATAACACAAGCCTTTAGTTGCGCTAAACGAAATGCAGCAACAATTTTTCCACAAAACAAAACTGCAGCACGATTAAATGTCAATTAGTCACTGTTGTGTTTGCGATATGGCAAACGCTTGAAATAGAGCAACCACGACACGATCACGGCAATAAAATACACGTACGTTTAAAGTTGTTTATACCGAAATGCCGGAATGAATAAAGGAATTTTCGTACACCAAAATGAAGACACAGTTCAAATAGTTGCACAGGCAGCCAATTATATTAATTGTGAACGTTTCCAACGAGTTGTTGCCAATAAGGAAATTTCTACAAATGCAAATAAATTCTTGTAGTTATGTCTATGGATATCTACAAGTTCCATTTAACATTCGCAAAATTGGTATTTAAATTTGTATAGAAATTTTCGCCTGCGACACGCTCCCGTAAAGAAAAAAGATAATTCAATTGTTGAGAAATTGACACACACAAACAATGCACATATAAAATACACGTCAAAATAAAAACACAATTTGCCAAAATATGTATATATATCAGATAAATATTTCGTTTTCAAACTATAATCACTTTTATGATTTTTGTTTTGTTTCCAATAATGTTTGCAAACTTCAATTACTTTTCATTTTTTCTGGCCGGTTTTTTATTTGTAACACAGTAATAAAATTGTAACTACTGCTTTTCCAGCCGCTCAGGTTATTTTCACAATTTGTGGATTTTCTAAGCGTGACCAAATATGGTATTTTTCAATCTTTATACACACTAAACTTTATGCTTGCATAAACAAATTTTACTGCCACACAAAAGCGCGTTCAATCATTTGCGTTTCAACAGTTGAATAGGTTAATTTTTATTTCATTAATTCACTGCATTTCACTGCTAATAAGTCCATGCTAACGCGAAAATATTTTGATATTTTCCTATTGGATTCTCTACGCTCACTGCAATTGGATTTCAGCCATACACAGGCGATTTGTGCCTGCGATGTATGAAAAGTATCGAGCAAAGTGAAAATTCGTTAGTTTTCAGTAGAGTTGCTTTGCTGTATGCAGGGTTGTATTGCGTTCAGACAGGTTTATTTTAAATGTGCACATAATTTGAATGAAAGTGTTTTGACTTTTCTTTGCATTTTTTTGTTTTTAACTCATTTTATTTTATTCGTTCATGCTATGTTATAATTAACTTTAAAATGCATTTTTTGTAAACAAAAAAAAACTATATTTTTTATACTAGAATTCTCATTCTTATATAGTTCACTGTATTTACTTAGCTGTGGAACCGCAACCTGTATTATACATATGTATGTAGATGGCTGACTATGACGTCATAGTCACTTTCATTTCCCCTCGTTTTTGTTAAAAGGAAATTGAATTCTCTCGCTCTCAGCAATTTACACATGATTCGTGTGCTACAAATCGAGTTCAGGCTAAACCACTTCGTATAATATTCAGATATCAGAGAAAAATGGCTGTTGGTACATAATTGTTGGAAGATTGTCTACGAAAGAATTTGCTGCAATTTTGTATGGAGACATTGTAAAGAAGAGATTTGTTTAAAACAATAATTGTGAATGTTCCTTGGGTAATATATAAAAAATTTTAGTTGATAAATAATTGCCTAATTCCTAGGTTTATGTAATTTGTAAAATGTGTTCCGAGTCATTTTTATTACGTTTGGCAGTTGCTTTGTCGCCTTCATTGTGGGTCCTCCCTTGTGCTTCGTTTCAAAATGAAGCGTAGCCATGAGAAATGCACGAGTGGATCAGATGTCATGTGATATTTTTCCATAGCTACATATATTTTTCGTCGAGAGTATATTGTTTAAAATAATGAAATTTAGCGTAAAAGCTATTTCCGCAAAAAGACATTTGACCAAATATATGGATGTATATTTAATATATGTACGTGTGTCTGTACATATGTATATACGTGGTGCAGACAACTAGATGTACATACATATTTTCGATTTCGTATGTGTATGTATGTTTTCACCTTGGTACGCTTTCGTATACTAAAAATGGCGATTATTCAGTGTTGCAAACGCATATTTCTTAAGCGGGTAAAAATTCAATTAAATGACAGCTGTCGAAGTTCCTGTTTGTGGGGTTTACGAAATGTGACGCTTGAGGAGATTATATACAATTTCAGGCCTACGAACTATTTTTTTGTTTATAGTGAGCGTCTAATGTTTTTTAACAATTTTACATAAAAATCACCTGGTAAGCGTCAAACATATAAAACTAAAATTTTTTTACTAATTATTGCATCTAACATGTCTTTTATAAAATATTAATGTGAATTCATTTGTTTTTAAGTCAAGAAAAGAAAAAAAGCATAGTTCGCGGGAAGTCATTTAGGTTATTTTCGACTCGTATAAAAAATTAGGCTCGAATTGGTTTGCAATTTAAATATTTAAAAACTAATAAAA